CAGAATTTTATTCTATCACTAATCCGTCGCCAAACCCTCATAAATTTCGTTACTAAAATTAACAACAGAATTTATTGACAGAAAATTTCTGTCGCTGAATAAGCGATGGATTAGTGACAGATTAGTGACCGAATTTTATTCTGTCACTAAATTCTATCACAAGTTTGTCACTGATTTTGTTTTAAATGATTAGTGATGGAAAAATTCAGTTACTAACTCCCATCACAAAACATTTTGTGATGGAAATTAGTGACAGAATTTTTCCGTCACTAATTTTCGTCGCAATTCCGTCACTAATCTGTCACAAAAAATATAATATAAATATATAATAATTATTTTTAAACTTATTATTAAAATAAAAATATAATATATCATAATTTTTAAATACTATATTATATAAAAATTAAAAAACGTAAATATTATAAAATAAAATAAAAATAAAAATATAAAATATAGTTATTACTTCTCCGGTTCATAATATAAGACCTATTTAACTAATTTGATTGGATTAAAGAAGTTAGGTAAGTTAGTTGATAATAAAAAATATGATATTTTTTTCCTAAAACATCATAATCATCTTTCTTAATATCCTCATCCCATCTTCTACTTGATCATAGTTGAGGGAGTATCCATAGGGGTAATTTAGACAAAAATGATAAATATGAGAAATAGGTTTTATATTTAGGATCAAAATTAACCCAATAATTAGGTCCTATATTAAGGATAGGAGGAGTATTTTGGTAAATATATGAATGAAAATATAAATTATTAGAAATTTTTTACTAAAATAAATATTATATTTGTATTTGTTATTAAAAATATATATATATATATTTATTTTTGCATAAAAATTTCACAGGTGCTTCTCACCTCAACTCGTAAAGGCTTCAGCACCCATGCATGAGGTGATGAAGGAGCTTGGTGTGATCAAGACCACGGCAAGGAGCCCAAACAAAGAAGTCCAACATTCCAAAAGATCCATTATAAGGCATTGGTGGCCCAATGACAAGAGCAAGGACCAAAGCTATGAAGGAGGCCCTAAATTGTCTAATAAGAGAGCTAAAAGAGTTGGAGCTCATTTATTTGGAAGAAGCACATTTTAATGAGGCTAAAAGAAGTCCAAAAATGGTGATCACATTGCTAGAAGCCCAACAAAATGATGTACAAGGCCCATGTGGGGTTCAGATTGAAGAATTCACTTAAAATACCATGTGACAAGCATGTGCCTTAGACAAGGATTATAAGTGACATCCAAGAATCTTCAAGAAGGATCAAGAAGGCATCATTATGAATTGATTATGATTTAAATTTGTTTTTCTGGTCAAGGAGTGTTCTAGAAGATCATGTTTTGATTTACTTTCCTATTTTTAAATAGTAGACTTGTTCTTGAAGTTTAAGTTATTTCTTTTTATTTCTACGTAATAAATGGTGCCTCCCATAGTCAAATAATCATTAATGAGGCATCATCCCTAGTATTTATGTCTTAGGATGCTGATTATAGGGTGTTCTATTGTTGCCTATATATAGGCTACATTTTTTGTAATTGAATTCAGATTTAGATGAATGAGAATTGAGTTTATTTCTTTCTGTGTGAGCTTTGCTTGCATTCCTATATTCTCGTGAGAATACTCGATAGTATCAAGGGATTGATCAACCTTGTGGTATCTTCATGACTAGGGTTGTAAGAGACAGGTTCTCTTAAGGTCCTACCTTGATCAACCATCCGTTTGTTACTTGATTCTAGCCGGTCCGTACATCCCCCATATCAGGAGGTCTCAAGATCGAACCAATGCATAAAAATTTCACAGGTGCTTCTTAGCTCAATTGTTAAAGGCTTCAGCACGTGTGTAGGAGGTCTCAGGATTGAACCAACACTCCTTCACAAAATTGAGCCAATTTGTGATGTGGTGATTATGTGGACAAGGCAATGACTTGGAGGCTCATAATGTTGGACAAGTGGCGATAACGTAGATGATGGGATGACGTGGTTGTGATGAAAAATTCCATCATAAATCCGTCACTATTTTGTGACAGAATTTTTGTGTGATATCTGCCACTAATTAGTGACAGATTATTGACGGAAAATTCCCGTCACTAATTTTCATTGCTAATCGTCACTAATTAGGAACGAAATTTTGAATTTTGTCACTAATTATTTAGTGACGGTGGAATTAGTGACGGAAAAAATTCCATCACCAACTAAAATCCGTCATTAATTCGTTGTTAATTTTGATTAGTGACTGGAATTCTGTCACTAAATTTTGTCATTAATTTGATTTTTTTTTGTAGTGCCAGAAAGCGCACACACCCCCATTTTAGTTTAGTCAATCAGATAATCTAATTTATTCACCTTACTGTAACTTAATCAGTCAAGAATATTGCATTTGGATGGTGGACATCGGACTTCTTCGGTTCAACTTCAAAATATTCCACATTTCATTTCTTATGATCAATATAATATCTTATATACTTTAGAATTGCACTGATGATTCTCCATTTTATTGTGATTCAAAAGCAATAGGTAATATCGATGTTATTTTCTCTTTTTATATAAAACGGAGAAATAACTCATAATACACGCGAATACTTCAAGAATAAATCTATTATGAAAATTGAATAGTTTCCAAATTAAATTCCAAGTAAAAGCTGAAAAGAGAAACTTAAACTAGACTTAATACGTTGCTGAACAGGTTGACACCTCAAAAGATGATGATGATGATGATGATGATGATGATGATGATGATTATTATTATTATTATTATATCTAAAATTTCTCTATATAGATAATGAACAAGATCCAAACGAAGGAAATTGGGAGATGTATAATGATAATGATCACCAAGTTTTGTCTCCTAATCCTAAGATGACTTGGTCAATTACTTTGACAATTCCAATGGCTGCGATATTGTCCCCAGTGGCTATTTTGATGATTGGAGCACCCACTTCTATTATGGTGATCTCGGAAGTAAACCTAATTATCCATGATTATCAATCCTGAATTTGGAAAAAAAAATAGAAAGAAAAGATGTCAGTGATGTACAGTCCTTCTCTAGTTTTTGGTTTAATTTTGCAATAGTAGCGTCTTAAAATATAGAATTGTTGGTGAAAGGTGTAGTAGTGACTTTCCAAGCAGAAAAGCAAAATGTATTATTCTCAGTGTTATTGTATTTCCGTATATACTACAATCAATTCTAAATATAAAAACTAGTTAAAGATTTAATTTGATCATAAATATAAAACTGCGATTCACTTTATCTCCTATATTTATTTATTTATTTTTCCATAAATAGTCCTCATAGTCATTATACATATTAAATGATTTTATTATAATGCACATGATTAATAAGGATATTTTAGAAAAGACAACTCCTATTTATTATAAATAACTAACTTAACTAATTTTCTTAATATTCGCAAATTAGTTATCTAACTCTTGTATAAGAGATCATTTTACATAATGTTCATCCTGTTCTTTATCCTCATCGCACTCTCTTATTTGGTTTGTGAATATATCTTCAAGTGAACAAATAATAGATACTATCTGACAACGCCCAATTTCCAGGCCTATAGAATATTCTGCAGGTCACTTCTTCTTCGTCAAGGGCCACGGTTTAAACTATGCAAAGACGGAACATAGTTATACTTGACTCATCGCACCAATAAACTAAAAGCAGATGTTTATACTACCTATGGGATGGATCAGCTAACTTTTTTGGACATACGAGCTACAGTAACAGCCTAATCACATAATGTTAGGACGTTCAAGTGTAAGTAAACTTAGGCTGATATAGGATGTTTCCCACCAGATAAAATTGGGCTTAATGAGTAATATATAGTTAAGTGAAATTAATGACTCGCAAATTTGAGCCTTAAATTATGAGTTAAGGTGTGATATTCTTCACTATTTTATTATTCCCCTGTTTTGAGTTTTGCTCTCCATTCCTCGCCCTATGTTTGGTACAAGGGAGTTAGAGGAGAGCAGATGGAATGGAATAGAAAATTTTAACGAGCTTAATTTAAAAAATTGGAGAAGTGATGTTATAAAATTTTGATAAAGAAAAGATGTAAGATAAAAGAGTAAGTAAATTAGTTAAAAGTTCTTAACCACAACTCTCTCTCTTTTTTATTTTTCTCATACCAAACGGACCCTTAGGCTTCAAAAGTAGCATATAATCGGTGAAAAGACACATAAATTGAAGTCTTAAGGTTGCAAAGATGTCGTGTCATCAACTACTTATCACCCATTTATTTATTCTCTCCCCCTATTCCAAGTTTCACTTCCCTCCCTTATACGTATAATGTCCTAATGAGTAAATCAATATTTAATATAGTTGAAAAATAGTCAATCTTTTTCATAAAAAGTTATATTTTGAAAATTTTAAAATAAAAATGAAAGGACTAATTAAAAACCCTTTTATGCATCCTCTTAAAGAGTGATATTTTGAAATCTGGAGTAGGAAATGGAGAGAAAATATGTTCGAAGAGAGCAAGATTGAAAGGAAGAAGAGGTAGGGAGAGAGATAATTAAAAAAGACTTATCTTCATAGTTGTAAGTACACATCGCTCGTAGCACTTACAAGTTATACACAGTAAGTTTGACATTTTTATATTATTCTCATAACTTCATCATCACAGAAGGATCAATATGCCAATTTAATTCCCACCTAGACGACTAATCATCTAGTGATGGGAGTCAAGCAGCAATATTGTTATTGGGTTGCTCGATCAATCAAAGTAAATAAAGAATCAAAATACAGATGCCTTTTGGAATAAAAATCTCCTCAAAAAAGGATAATCAAGTAATTTCCAGAAAGCACAAATCATCCTATAAATTTGTGCTCCATCAAGTCTTAGAGTATCCATTGAGAATTTTGGTTTAGGTGCTTGCTTAGCTTCCTATTTCCGATCAACCAGCTCCAATGGCGGACAAACTAGGAAATGAGAAGACTTGGATGGTGAGTATGCTTTTCTTCTTCTTGTTGTGTTTTGTTCACATGACAATGGCAGGTCAAGAAACAGTCAACAAAGCTAAGGAACTTGAGGTTGAGAAACTTTTGAAGAAGTTGAATAAACCAGCCGTTAAGTCCATTAAGGTTACAGTTTAGCCCCCTTCCACTATTTTTGGTTAATTATGATTGACATTTAAATTCAAAAATTTGCAAACTTAGTTTCATTTTGTGAAAAGAAGATTATATGATTCATTATGCTTTGGCAGTTAACGTTCTTATATAGTAGAATATCAAGAACATGCATTATGCTAATTTTTGTCGAGTTCCACTTAAGAAGAAATTTATATATTTCTGGGTTTTATAATTTATCATTATATTTGTGTTAACGTTTAGTATTATAAAATAAAATAAAAGCAGAGTCCCGATGGTGACATAATCGACTGCGTACATATTTTAAATCAACCAGCTTTTGATCATCCGAAGTTGAAGAATCACAAAATTCAGGTAAAATAATTTATTTTGATTATTTGTCCTTTTTGTTATATAAATTGGATTTTCTCGCCCACAATTCTGAGGCTTAAAATTGTATTCTATATTCGATGAAGATGAGGCCAACATTCTGTCCAAAAAGAAGCAATTTTTCACAATCAAACCCAATTGCTCAATTGTGGCACCAAAGTGGAAATTGTCCAAAAGGAACCATTCCCATAAGAAGAACAACAAAAGATGACGTATTGAGGGCAGATTCTATCCATCAATTTGGGAAGAAGATCAATCAGACCATTCCTGATCTGTCTGGATCATTATACTCTACTAATGGCCATGAGGTACTAATATTGCCAGTTATCAATTTCTCCAGATTAAAAAAAAAAAGATAGAAAATCAATATGTAAGTCCCTCGCTATAACATTTTCACCTCATTTTTAATTCAGTTCTAATTATAGTTTTTCATTTTCATTTGGTCCTTATACTTTCCTTAATGATAGGTATTAGTCCCTATACTCATTATTTGTTAGTTTGTAAGAGGAAGGGCATGACTAACCATGATGACATGGTTCTATGCGCTCGACATGCATCTGAATTAATTTTACCGTGTTGATTTAAATACAATCATCAAAACCAACCATATTATAGATTATATAAGGATGCGTGAGGAGACAACTATGAACATAATAATGTACTTTTATGTTGATAATAAAGAAATTTTATTTCATCATTTTACCAAAACTTTTTTATTTTGTATTTTGTGACAACTTACATGCATTTTTAGTTAGTATTCACATAAGCTCTAATTAACAGATTATTAGCGTAAGAACTAAAACCTATAATTGCGACCTAGTTAAACATCCAGTGAAACCGTAAGAACTGGCCATTTAATTTTTCCCAAAAGACTTATTTGTGTAGATGTTTTGCATATATTGATTATATCATTATATTTTTCTTTGTTTCGTTGTGTTTGGTGCCTCTAGTATGCCATAGCCGATTTGCGAGGAATAGATACTATGGAGCCCAGGCATCCATAAACATTTGGAAGCCCCACGTTCAAGAATCCAATGAATTTAGCCTCTCTCAAATTTGGATTGTGAATAGTGATGATTCTAATAAGGTTGAGACCATCGAATCTGGTTGGCAGGTATATATACGACATATATATGCATATATGTTCCGTATATAATTTCTTGGACATCACATGTATATAGATGAGTGCATTTCTATATTTCTCTTCAAGGAATACTATTTTTGATCTGTCTGTTCCTTGGTTTGGAAAATCAGATCTATCAAGGACTATATGGGGATGATAACCCAGACTTTTTATATATTGGACAGTAAGTTCAAATCTCTCTTACCAACCTAGCTATAATTTGTTGTGTCCTCAAATAATTGCATTTGTTTGTTATATATTATTACTGTTATTATTTTTTATATACATATACATATACATACATATATATACACACCACACACGCCTTTTTCTTGCCCATAGAGCGACTCATATGACCGCACTGGATGTTACAATCTTGGCTGCTCTGGCTTTGTTCAAGTTGATAATAAAATAGCAGTTGGAGGCAGCCTGCAACCATTCTCCGTATATGGTGGTTCTCAATATGCATTCTCCATCCTTATCTGGAAGGTAAGGTCGTTTTGAAAACAGAAAACCAAACAAGTGTACCTGTACATAAATGATTAATTTTATTGGCTCAAACATAAAAGTTAAATGGTTAAAACTTGAAGAACTATGTTAAATGAGCTAAAGTTCATGCATTGAGTTATAACCAAATCAAAAATACATAACTGATCAATTATGATCAACCCGTTCTTTTTCCTTCTTGCAATAGAGAAAATCGGGTAAAAAGTTTCTATTTGAAAATTTTATTGGCAAGAAAGATCTTATATTTTTTATCCATAAAAAGTACGGGTACTTTGTAGGATTTCATAAACAGAAGATACTTGTACTCAAATTTAGATTTTTCTAGTAAATAAAATTTCTAAATAAGGACTGTTCACCAATTATCTCTTTGTATAAAACATATAGCCCTTGAGAAATCCAACAATTCATATCAGCAGTAATAAACTCGAAAGAAACCCTAATGGCATAATATCATATGATTCCCTCTGTGTTTGAGAAAAAATATAACAATAATTATGATGATGGATGGGGCAGGATCCAGGAAGTGGAAACTGGTGGATGTTACTTGGGAATAGTATATTTGTGGGATATTGGCCAGCTTCTTTGTTCAATCATATGTCTGGGAGTGCATCAAATGTGCAGTGGGGAGGTGAAATAATAAACATAAGGTCTCACGGCCAGCACACCACAACAGGAATGGGAAGTGGTTATTTCCCTCAAGCAGGTTTTGGAAAGGCTAGCTTCTACAAGGACGTTTCTATTGTTAATAGAAATAATTATCTTGTGTCTCCAAGTAACTTTGGCACTTACGCTAGCAATGCCAAGTGCTATGATATTACCCCATTTGGTCATTCTAATAACTGGGGTGCCTACTTCTTCTATGGAGGTCCTGGAAGAAACCGAGACTGTCTGTAGAAAAACTATATGAGAAGTTTAAAAAGTCTAAATCTATCTTGTTATGTCAAGCAAATAAAGAAAGGAATTGTGGCGTGAGTACTATAACTGCGTGATGGGATCTGTATCAGATAAGGCTTGATAAAGACAAGTCCTTATAATTAAGAATGTAATATTATGTAGTGGGACAATATGCAATGTCATATTGTGATATCCTTTGACCCAAAAAAATCAGATTGTGTTACTAGCTTCAGTCTTTAATATAAGACCTACTTGACTAATTTAAAGAGATTAAAAAGCTAATAATTTTTTTTTAATAAAAACTGAAGCTGCATTAAAACAAAAAACGAGTACATACAACAGAAATAACAGCCCTATCCTTCATCAACATCTGTCTCCTGAGCAAGAAATGGAGGTTGATGAAGGAGCAAAAATTTCCCGATCCTATGCGCCAACTTAACAAGCCTATCAGCAATAGTGAGATAATCCTTGTACACATGAGTAATGTTAACTTGCCAATCTCTATGAATATTAAGTCTAGCCTCATCCACCGCATCCTTAAAAGGTGATCTCTATCACAGCCTCTAAGGCAAAATTAATTGCTTCGATACAATCAGAGAGTAAAATGATTTTCCCGTGGCCGTATATGAATCCAATTAGCTCTGCAATCGCCTATGAAACTGCAATCAGTTTACAACTAAATCCACAAATGCATCTGTCCTGTGAGAAAGCTACTAAATTACTTTAAAGTATTTTAAATTTTTTTTTCCAAACTAATTTGACTCACTTTTGATTTATAATATAATGATACACGATGTATTTTCGAGAGATCATGTATATATGTTATAATTTAGTAATTTTTAAATCTATCCAAATTAATTAATTGGGTCCTATATTAAAAACTGAAGGTAGTGGTATGTTATAAATGTTGCATACAATGCAGAGGTTCTGCATACGTACACACATAAATATATGTGTGAGTATGTATTGTATCATAATATTGACTGATTTTATAAATTACTTTTACATTTCACAAGACAAATTAATTTTATGATGATTACAAATGTGTTTTATTTAAATTTCAAATGGATTGGTTCTTAAAATAATGATATTATGGAAAAAAATAATGGGTAATAGATTAGTACTCTTAATTTTTTTTTTCTAAAAAATATTTCTTATCCCACGTATTATCTTCAGGAAATACAATACTTTAATGAAGATAATTTTAACATTTTTAATAAATAAATATTTTTTGTTGAAACTTCTCATTTTTTGTATTGGGCCTAACTTGGCCAGTACTTGCCCATCTCAATCCAGACCCAGTCATCCCCAGCAAGGTTTGAACATGAGCTGCAATAGTCGGACTCGACCAAACCAATCCATACGCGGAAATGCAAGTCTCTCCTTGTTGTACGGGGAAAATTTTCTCTTTATAACCAATTGAAACACATGAAAAATTTGTAAGAGGTGTTGTTTTATTATTTGCAAATTGCAAGTCTTCTTTACAGATTCTGCAATCATCCTTAATTTTAAGGATTTTTCACCAAATTGGCAACTTGTACTTTTCAAAAA